AAGTTGACATAGGATATGTCATTCTATTGAGAATGTTATTTTCTATCCAGTAAAGTAAAAAAATACCCAGGGTGCCATTTAAAAATCAAAAGTTGTAGTCATTTCCGGTGAAACAGGAAGTGACCGAAAACAAATGAATACGTCAATCAATCCTAATTTATGTTATATACTAACATACCAAATCTCGTTTTTTTATCGGAAAAAATGAAAAAGTTACAGGGGTGAGCCACTTTTGAGACTCACCCGGTACACTATGCAAGTCTAATTTGTAATGCAGAAAACTAATTTTTGGACCTTAAAAAAAGTGTTATTCTTGGTATATTTTTAGAGCAATGGTCAATCTAGCAATTATTATCGAAATTAAAAAATATATATATTTTTTTTACCAAGAGTATGTGATTTAGTGAAATAGTATTACAAAATTTCTACTTCTGACAATTGTGACTGTTAAAAACTTTCAAAATTTTCTTAGGATGTATACTTTTATACATTTTCTTCGAGAGAAAATATCAATTTTACATGCCTAAATTTTAGTTACTTTTCATGACCATCTATACTTTCTTATGCTAGGTGCAGGAGCAAACATATACAACTTGTTTACATTCAAAAATATTTTTAACATTGAAAATGATATGACTAATAATATTTTTATGTCTTCAAAAACATTCTTTAGGATGTGTGAAATAACTTCACTTGCTTCTATTTAAAGAACGATGTTAAGAACCACCTGTTGGTGAACGGGAAATTGTTATGAAGAAGAATGTTTCCACCATCGGTTAGGTGAAACCTTAGTTTCTTACTTATTCTCTGATACATATTTTAAAGTAAAAAAAAAGTGTTATTTTACTATTGTTACCACTTTTTTTCTATTGTTAAATAGCCAATAATATTGGTAGTGGCTTACAATCATAGTTTGTAAATAAAGGCTTATTGTTGGTTAGACAAAATCGTATACCGGGTGTTGCATCGTCGAGCGGGACATAGGAAATACCATGTAAATTTTAATGGGGTCAATTATTGGCTTCCCTAATTATTTTAGAGAATAATTCTATTTAGGTTTATTGAAGAGCACCAACACCCACATTCAAAAGAATAACTTTAGATATTTTCGATTAGTCCGTTTACGAGTTATCGCCGATTTCATTTTAAATATTTCTCCTTTCTTATGGCCCAGTATTTACTTATGAGGACCAGCCAAGGTAAAAGATAACTGTCAAATGAAGTTGTCATTTTCGAAATTTATCTATTTAGTGCTTTATTATTATTATTAATTATTATTATTATTAATTTAACTCATACCTACATAGAAAATATTAGCCATGAATTACGCTACCGAAGAAAAAGTATTGATGATTAAATGGTATTATCAAGAAAATAGTTATCAAAAGGTGTCGGACATGTTTGCTGCTCTGTATCCGAATAGACCGATACCTGGAAAATCTACAATCGCAAGGAATATCCAGAGATTTGAGACCAAAGGTACCCTAATAAATAACTGCAGATGTGAAGCAAGGCAGGAACGAAGAGAAGATGCAAGAAATGATACCGACTTGGAAGTTTTATTGTGCGTGGAAGAGAACGATGGAAAGATCAGCACAAGGAAACTTGAGGATGAAATAGGAATAGATCACACTACAGCGTTTCGAATTTTGAAACGACATAAATACTATTCCTTCAAATATGAAAAGCACCAAGAGCTACGAGATGGGTACGAAATACGGCGGCAGGCGTTTTGTTTTGATATGAGGGAAAGAGCAAACACGGATAGGGAATTTAAAAAAAAATATGATTCACTGACGAATGCGCGTTTACCTTAATGAACCCAATGTTCAAAATTATTGATATACAACTTATACTTATATTCTAAAAGCTAATTTATATTTGAATATTTACTAAAATACAACTTTAAATAAGTCAAATTATGAAACATATACTAAAATTACTTTATTTAAAAAAACTCTTAATTTCTTTTAGAGTCACATTAGAAGAAAAAAATGATTCTTGTGCATAATGTATCTAGTAAATTTGACTACTGCTTTATCTGAATCCAAAAAAATACACATATAATTCAATAAATTACTGATCAGATAATAAATCTTATCTAATTACGCCAAGTTATTTTCTTCTGTGTAGAGTAGTAAAGCATATACCTTTGTAGCAGGTTATTGGGCATTTGTAGCAAGTTCTTTTTCGCATAATACCATTTTAGATCTTTATCTCTTGTTATTCCTAATGCACGTAATCTTATTAGCAGAAAGATGATTGTAAGACGCACTAAGAAAATTGCTAATACCGTTGGCGCTTGCTATCCACCGCCACACCAGACTTTCTTCCACACCGCCTGAAGGCGCGGCGTGTGCCGTTGACCAAGTGACCCACATCCTGCTGTCTCCGCGGCCCTGACCTCCATCTCGATCCTCTTCTTCAGCGAGTCGGTCGTTTCCTCGAGGCCATGCGGCGGTTTCTCAACTCGGGTGGCCGACGACCACTCCTTTTCCTGCTGGTGTCGGTCAGTGTGTCCGCTTTTACTACCTGCCGCTTGGTGGGGAGATACGTGGTGAAAGAGATTGTTTTTAAGAGCGGCGGAAAGTCAAGTTTAAGGTTTATTTTGGTTCAGGTAGTCGTACGAGTACGAAGCAATTTTACTACCGGCAAATTACATTTATTTTAAAATTATTCTAGAAATAAAAGTTATTTTATACATTAAAATTCATATTCTTTATTACTTTTTTATATAAATAATTTATAAGTAATTTAAATATTTTTTCTTTTTTTACTCTCTGTGTTTTAACTCATTCTTTTCTACACTTTTAACACATAATATACATTCCTTATACTTAAGTTTTTTAAATTATTTTACTTATATTGAAAAAAACGTGGCAGATTGTAAGTTACATTTTCCGAAATTTCTTGACTTGACAAGTGATAAGTATATTTTATAAAATTTGGTATTTTAATATACCGGGTGCGTCTCAAAAGTGGCTCACCCCTATAACTTTTTTATTTTTTTCATATAAAAAAGGAGATTTTGTATGTTACTATATGACATAAATTAGGATTGATTGACGTATTCAATTATCTTTGGTCACTTCCTGTTTCACCGGAAATGACTACAACTTTTGATTTTTAAATGGCACCCTATGTATTTTTTTACTTTATTCAATAGATAATTACATTCTGAATTGAATGACATGTCATATGTCAACTTTTGGCATTTTCGCTTAAAACAAAATTGAATTATAAAATTCAATCTAGAGTGCCATGGTTATGTTAAAAACACTAATTAATAAAGGAGCCTTGGAAAAATAGATTTGATCGTCTAACGTTTTTAGTGTCTTGTCCTGGCCAGTTGGAAAATGCTCAAATCGTATTTTTAATCATATCTCAATTTTTTCAAGTGGAACGAGGGTGGCTCATTAGCAAATTTGGAAAAAGCATTTTTTACGAATAATTTGGTACCACACTTTTGGTATTTCGAGTCAAATTTTCGTTACGAACCGCAAGTTATAATTTGAAATAAACCATATGCGAAAATGTCAAAAATGGACATATGATATGTCATTCTATTCAGAGTGTTATTTTCTATCGAATAAAGTAAAAAAAAAAAAAATACCGAGAGTACCATTTAAAAATCAAAAGTTGTAGTAATTTCCGGTGAAACAGGAGGTGACCGAAAACAATTAAATACATCAAGCAATCCTAATTTATGTCATATACTAACATACCAAATCTCGTTTTTTTAACTGTAAAATAAAAAAAGTTATAGGGGTGAGCCAATTTTGAGATGCACCCGGTATTTTTTCTTTAGCCTTACAGAGAGTGATTTCAAAGTTCTAGGCTTGAATGCATGTTTTTACGTTATTCTATTCAAATATTTTTTTTTTGTTTTCTTTTATACAATGCTTCTATGTTGTTTGATCTTTTAATATTTTTAGCGCTTTATTCAAAAACATTATGCACAATTTATTTTATTGGACGAAGATATTAATAAAAAGCGAGAGAGAAGTGCCATTTTTTATTGACAAAACATTAACAGTGAAAAATATAAACAAAATAATAAAAATAACATTAACAGTGAAGGCAATACACAATATGTATATGAAACTTACAATTCCATACATGTAATATACTATCATATAATAGAAGAGAATACCAACTTTCTAATTTAATACAACACTCTGTATATTATTCAACTGTTGAATTCTTTATAACATTTTAGATTGTAGTATATGTTATGTACAATTTTCTATACATATCTTTAACTGTTTAGGAAATATTAAGGGCCGGGGTTTAGCAAATTATTGTCTCATTGCTGGTCAGTAGTTTCAAGTTGTTCAGATTTCATTTTCAAAACATAAAAATGGTTTATTTAATAGAAACATACAAAAAGAAATCTACATTCTAGACTACGCAGATGACTAGACTTTAATGAATACAATGAACATATAAAATAATAAATATAGTTTGGAGACATCAACAGGCGATTAGACGGGAATCTCTAATTTATTTTTGATACATACTGTAGCTCTATTGCACTATTGCCGCACCCTGTATGTTCAAATTGTCTGGTATAAGTAATATCCCCCCCCGTCCCTTAATAATCTGTTTTTCCCAAAAAAATATATAGAGATGAAATATTAATTATAAACGATAATTTAGCTAGATATATTTAGATATTCATTTCACATAATATGTAGTTTGTTTATGTACTATATTAAATCAACCATTTTAATTGTGTTTCTATTAATATTTTTTTGTTCGATTTTATTTTTTTTGTTAATGTATTTTATAAAATTACTTATTATCGGGGCATAAATTATTTATAGTTTTCTCTGAATTCTATTATTCTTTATTTTTACTATATCGAAAGAGAACACTTTTAATACATAAATAATTAATTAAATAATTAAATAAAACCTGATTTTTTACAAAATTCTAATAAAAATATAATGCTGGTTTTATCATTCAATTTTATAATGTCAATTTAACAACTGTTTTAGATGCAAGAAGAAGCAAAATCAGGAAACTCATCCTGCCTCTTTTACTTCTCTTGAAACTGAAAGCAGCAATAGTGCTTCCAATTCTCTTGTCCATCATAGCGCTGGTTTCATTCAAGGGATTCGGAATCAGTTTAGCTGCATTGGCCGTCTCTGGAACGACCGCCTTGAAGAATCTTCTAGAACATGCTGGATCAAAAATCGAGGTAGTTCCCACTCCGATCGGTCACTGGAGTAGAACAGGAGCTGTAGAGAGTCCTGTTCCGGCTTACCATTATGACTACCAACAGTAAAAGTTATAGTTAGAAGTGTATTTATTTTTAATTAATTTATTTTTATAAATTCTATTTTTTCTCTGTGTTTTTTTTTGTCTCGACTCCCATGTACAGGGTGGGTCAAATTCTACGCTTTTAAATGGAAACACCCTTTTCTATAGGAGATAGACAAAAACTAATATCGGTCTCTGGAGCTCAATTTTTCTCAAAAACATGATGGTGAAAATCACATATTGATATCTGTTACCGTTTCGGAGTTACGGGGTGTTTTTCAAAAATATTGATTTTTAACAAATCGCTCTAACTTTTTTGCTATGGAAAATTTTGTATTTTCATTAAAACATTTCCAAAGCACCTTTTTAAGTAGAATTTAATGGTTTAAGTATATTTTTTTTTAAATTAATAATTTAAGAATTATCAACAGAAAATTTGATTTTTTATAAGGGACACCCTGTATATTTTTAATTTATTGAAAATAATTTAAAATTACCTTTCCAAAAATATAACACACTTGATATTTTGTTCAATTCTTCTTCGAGATATAGAGTATATACAAATTCGCCCGCTTTAAATAACTAGGCTTTAACGGCACCGACTGTAATGCAAAAAAATTCTAGCTGTGAGCATCAATTAAAACGAAAATAATATTTGCTATGAGAGATGCAGAATTTTATAACAATTTAAATTATATTTAACCAACAACAACACATTTAAACTATATCTAATAACAATAAAAATAAATAGCAAACCAAGACATGCGATTTTGCTACAGATGTTCGACATATCGAGCGTTTTCTGTTATGGATAGACGGGGCAGTTTTTGAACATTTCTCGCGAAATTCGTTAACTCAGTAGGTCTGAAAGATATCCTCTCATAACTGCTAAGTGTTTCTAATTCTTGTCTAGATTATACGGAAGAATAAAGAACCTTTATTCTTCCGCAGATATATCCATAAGATTAGATCCATTGAGCCACTAAGTCAAGCGGCCTCGACGGCCAACGGCTGGGATCTTGGTTAGCTATTCAATTATTCTTGAAATTGGCTGCAAAAATTTGCTGATAACTTCAGCGTTCAGCGACGGTGCGTCGTCTTGCTGTAAAAATATGTTTTCGAGTTCCATTAAGGGCATATCATCAATAAGATGTTCAAAGCCTACTAGTTAAAAGTGGCGAACTTTTAAAAATTCTGTATTTCGAAGGGGATTACAACAAAATATCAAGTGTGCTATATTTTTGGAAATGTAATTTTAAATTCTTTTTAATTAATTAATATAGAGGGTGTCCCAAATAAAAAATCATTTTTTCTGTTGATAATTCCTAAATTATTAATTTAAAAAAAATATACTTAAGCCATTAAATTCTACATAAAAAGGTGCTTTGGAAATGTTTTCATAGAAATACAAAATTTTCCATAGTAAAAAAGTTACAGCGATTTGTTAAAAATGCACATTTTTGAAAAACACCCCGTAACTCCGAAACGGTAACAGATATTGATGTGCGGTTTTCACCATCATGTTTTTGATAAAAATTGAGCTCCAGACACCGATATTACTTTTCGTCTATCTCCTATAGAAAAGGGTGTTTCCATTTAAAAGCGTCGAATTTGACCCACCCTGTACATATTTTCCTATCTGTGTTGTATTAATTAAGTTACTATTTTCAGCACTGCTTGAAAAATATTTCAGTATTTATAACTTTTCAGTTTTACGGTAACGAAAATTAAAGTAAAAATACCTACTAAAAATAATCGAGAACAAATAAATCACAGGATTTTTTATAAGATTATGACTATTGTATCCCCCTTTTTGAGTTATAACTCGTCATATAGTTTATAACTCATCATAAATGGGGATCTTCCTGTTGTATTTCCCATCCTCCTTTGACAACAGCTGTTCATCCTCCAAACTCCAAGGAGTGAACATCTACTTCATACAAGGGTATACATCCTTCCACGGTTGGGGTTTAGCTGTTCGTGCCATTCACAGTCGAGGAGCTTGTCTCTGGCTGAGGTATCCTTGAAGTAGATGCTGGAGAATCTCTCTCCATTTTTGCTACCTCTTTAACTTGGTCTCTCCTTAGACCCAATACCGGTTTTTTCCCGGGTCTATAATAGAGGATATATCTCTCTTTCTCTATTGCCCCCTTGGATTTGAGGTCAATTCCTATTATAGGACCTGATCATGGCCCTCCTCCCTTAAGTTGAGGACTGACCAACTCGATGTCCCTACATTGGAGTTCTGGCAAAGCTAATGATACACCGAAAGGGTTAGTCGGTCTACTTCTAAAGAGCTCTACATATAGAAATAAGGTAGACGAGAATACAAACCTTGGTGCCCTAAGGTTAAGACTAGGGACCAGGGGTAACCCTTGTATCCTCCTCTCCCCGGGAAAGTTGTTCTTCTTTATTTGTTTAGTATACCTTATTGTACACGAGCGTATTGACTGTACTCTTCGTACACATGAAAATCGGTACCTAAGAAAAACTATTACTAATAAAGCTTGACTAAATGTAAAACAAAAACCGGCAAGCGTTAGGATCTATCTTATATTATAATTTAATGTGTTTTAAATAAAATGATCAAGTGACTTATAAACCATACCGATAATTACAGCTTCATCGCGGAGGCTATAACTTTATTGATAAGCGTCTTGTTTGGTATTTTTATCCAATTTATTTAATAAATCAACTAGAACGGATAACGATAACCTACAAATTAATTACACCAAAGATGACACCAAAGCCTGAAACCAATAAACCGATCTAGAAATTAAAGCAAAACTAGAACGGACGACCCAAATATAAGAAAAATAAGAGTTAATAGATGATTGAATAGAGTCCCTCTGTCTGGGAATAGTAGCAATCAAAGGAAATACTAAATAAAATACACTAATCAAAATTTGCATATTCTATGCCAATTACAAGGCTTACAAGTAGGAGAATGAAAAGAAAAACAGAAAACAATTATTAGAAAAGCGCAACTAGCTAGATATTTTGAGAGCAAATTCTTTATTTCTTTTATTTGGAAATATTTTATAGCTGATATGCAATTTATATTACTATACAGAGGCAAAATAAAACACTAATTCACGACAATACATCAAAACACTTTTCCACTGGACACGCGTTGTGAAAAAAAACTTATGAAAGTGTTTTGGTGAAATGTGGTGAATTAGCGTTTTATTTTGCTACCAAAAGTTTCAACCCTCAACTATAAAACTATACAGGGTTTTAAAAAAAACAGTATACCAAACTTCAGTGGGTGATACGCCTAGGAACATATACGCCCTAATATATTTTCTGAAAGAGTACATCCCTTGAAATCCTCTAGAGCCCTTACAGCTCTGACATCTAATCTTTTAAAGCATATCTGGTAAGAATTTACATCGTTAATGAAGAGTATAAGTTCTAAAGGGTATAAGTGCCAAAAACCAATATTTTTCGTTATACATATAGAAAGGGTCTATGTGCCATGCCATGTATTGCAAAGGTTCTAAGTGCCAGCGATATATCTAGGTGTTCATCTACTGCGTGAAAGATGGCGCTCCCTGTAAGTGCCACCGGTAATTTTATTTCTAAAGGATCTATGTGCCGTGCCGTCACCGTGAAGTAAATCATATTAATCATATGTTGTAGTATTTATTTATCTCGTCAATCTCGTGTCATTCCAAACTAAAAATTGAGCGAAAACGGCGAGTAAAAGGATCAGAAAGTTTAAAGAAAGAACAAAAACGTTTAAGGACAAGTGGTTTAGAATACAAAACCAGGATATCTGTTCATACCAGATACCTAACCTGGAATGTAAGAATTGCAGTACCCCAGCAAAGTTAAAAGATTTGAAAGCTATGCAAGATTATATTCCACTCAAACATCGTCGTTTTTATGAAGACCTGATTGATAAACCATCTCAACTAATAGAAGGAACCTAAGGAAATTAATTTTTTACCCACTATAAATTTGTTTAATTTGATTTTCAGTTACTCACTAAAAATTTTGTAATGTATTTTGAATTTGTACACTTTTTTGTAATAAAACATCCAAAAGTGAATAAAATTTTGTGTTTTTTTTTGTACTTGGACCTTATATTTTTGGTAATATGTATTAAGGCACATAGCCCCTTTTCAGAAATAAGTAATGAGGCACTTAGACCCTTTTACGATTTCCTATTTCATTTTTATTTTGGTTAGTTTAATTTAGATTTTTTCTTTACATTTTCTCAGGTATCTTTTAAACGAAGCTATTTTACTTAAAAAATAGATATTTATTGCTAAAACGATGTTTACTGCCTCAAGATCAAGATAGTTTTATTTGATTATCTTTGTTCCAGGTTTTTGGCACATAGATCCTTTAGAACTTACGCTCTTCTTGTGTTACCGATCAAAAATGTCTTTACATCTCATGATTTCGCTAAAATTAAAATAGAAGTATCGTAACATTTAAAAGCGAATATCAAATTCAAAAGTGTTTACTCTTTCGAACTAAAAAATCTCTAGCTTTTTATGCCATATGTTGAAATTACTCTATTCACTAGGATAAAAGAGTTTGGTGAGAAACTATCCTCTACCCTAATGGAAAGTACCCTTTCAGATCTGTTTTTTTACATTTTCCACTCTCGCCATTAGATATGGCATTAATACGTGCATATCCAATACCCATTTTTAAGGAAAACGATTTACCAATATTTACCAATGTTTTGAAAAATAAAAATAAAATATATTATTATTACCTACCCTTTCGAGTAGGGATCGGCAAGACAAGAAATCTTGTCTTGACAAGCAATTTCTTGCCTTGTCTTGAAATATTTTCAAGAATTAAAAAAAAATCTTGTCTTGACCATTCAAGAAATCTTGAATTTTCTTGATATCTTGATAAAAGGGGAACTTTTGATCTTTTCTTGTCTTGATCTTTTCTTGAAATCAAGGCAAGATCAAGACAATATCAAGAAGTTGTCAAGAAAATGACGACCCCTACTTTCGAGGCTGAAACTTCATCAAAGGGCATATATTTCTTTTATTTTTGTCTGTAGAATGCCCTCCCACTGAAGTTAGGTGCCCTATTTTTTATACCCTAT